TTAATAATAAATATTTTCCAAATATCACTTATGTTTGCATATGCTTATGTTTTTTAGCATCTTTTCGATTAGTAGCAATATTGAAAAAACAGAGGGCACCACTACTCCATTTGTGCAGATAGTCAATTTTCATTTCGGGGGGAACATTTAATTCTTTACCTCAGGAAACGAATTAACATTCACAGATTCACCATGACACAATTCATTCAACAAAATGTTATTTCTACAGCACAAAATGTGCATATACATCGATTATATTCAAATACTTTGCAAACCTAAAGCTTTTGGTAATATCATTGCATCTTTCGCCAAGTAGGAAACTTGAATTTTTTCACGCCTGTGTGTCGTCTGCAGAGTTGAAGAGGTTTTGGATGCAGATTTCCCCTGCCTCATGCAATTTAGGAGAAAACGTTGAATGCTTTCAATTGCCAATCAAGCCAACAAAATGTCGAATACTTTCAATAGCCATCTGTAGTGTCTGGAAACCATTACGAGTCGGTGGATTCAACGAAAAATTTCTCAAGTGCAATGTTTGGCTCTCCGCTAAATATAATTGAAATGACAAATTATTTGATTAACACTATTAATATTCAGCTAAGGGTTATGTGAGAACTTGGAAAGATCATTTGATATTTTTTCAGAGGGTGTTAGGGATATTTTAAAAACTGCCTCAGTTACCAATTTTGAGCCATTCTATGTAAAATCGAATGCCGAACTGATATTTACTTTGGGGTAATTTAGAGAATTTAATCATAGAAAAAGAATGCTCTCAAATTATACTAATATTTTCTGAATAATCTCATTATATATTAGGTCAACACTTCATTGAATACGTTGAAATTAAGCATATAAGCATAAGGATTTAAAGTAGTCTTCAAATATTAGAGATAATGTGTTATTTTGTATAAATATTCGTTAAAGTAAATTTTATCTCTTCAATTATTCTTACAATATGACACTTCTTGTTGAATATTTCAATATTATTTTATGCACCACACAGAATAAGTTATTTCATCGCAGGAAGGATGACATAATTGAAAATTAAGGTACATCTCTCGAGAGAATAAATCGTAAAATTCGGCAAGTATTTTGCAGGCGAGGATTTTCACTTACTATTTCTTTCAAAGGGCCTGTTACATAACTACTCATTAAGATAAATTTATTTTTAAACAGTCAAGCTTTGCCAGTGTTAACAAAACCGTTACAAGAGGTCAAGACCTTGATTTAAACTGATACTATAATTTAATACGTTATAGAGCATGCAGACCTTTTTTAATTTGGTATTTGTTATCATCATTGGTTTGGTTATTTATTTAATTACGGCAAAGCACACAAGGGCAATCTGCATAAATGGAGGGATGCCTTCGTTGAAGACATTCTAATTGAAACTGATTTGTACCTATGCATGGGAAAAACCACGAAATCATCCATGCAGGCCATTCGCTGCTATTTGAACCCCGGTCAAACCACCAGTACTCAGTGATACCCTCGATAGAGTATTCGCTACTTTTATTTTATGTTCCAAACACCAAAATGTTTTAAATAAAATACATGTTTGTCATCGACATATTATCATTTTATTTTTGTATAACTGAAAAATAATCACTTTGGGTAAACTAGAAAATTAAAAAAATAAAGTTATGTCTTTCTTTCATAAAATTTTATTTAGCAACATGTATAATTGATGACTAAATATAACATGTATAATTGATGACTAAATACAAAACTATGACTGAAAAATCTTTGTTATTCAATATATACACTTGAGTAGTGGTCTGTTATTTTTGAAAGACTTTGAAGACACGAAAAAAACATCATCAGTATTATTCATCGGTATATAAATATATTGCATATTACCTTCTGGATTACCTCGTAGTATGAAAATTTGAGGTATTTGTGAATTTAGGTCAATTGGTTGTTTTAAAAAATTAAGCAATATTATGCAGAGTAAGGCAATCAAGACTGTGATATTTAAATGTGAAATGAGTAGATATTATTTATTATAGTATCAGAGAACTATCAAACTGGGTAAAATCGCTAAAAGAGGTATAGAATGCTCTGTCAAACTATATATACTAGAAAATCTAAATTTGATAATGAATGTATCCTAAAACGTGTTTGAAATAAAATTCTGCATGTTAAAATATTTGTAATTAGGCACATAGGTCAGGTTAAGTTTTTATTAAATAGGGTAAGGCATGCAAGGGCAGTCTGTCAAAAGGGAGAGATGCCATCGTGGAGGAATTTTGAAGGAAAACTGACTTTGAGTGGATATTAAAAATAATGCATGCAATTTTCATTCAAATTATATTTATACATATTTCTTATGTAAAAATTTCTGGTATATGCTAAATTATTGTAAATTACTTTACTGGAAAGAGATAGTGAATGCACAGAAATTAAAGATTTGCACATGCCAAAATGAAAAATATAAAATATACAAGGGTATTAATGCATATGCTTGCAAAAAGCATGTATCTGACTAAATATGTAAATATTTATTAAATTATTTATAAATCTACTTGGAAATAAAAGATTTATTCATTCATAAACTCCTGTGAAAGTTAGTGTGAAGAAGTCTAGTTATTAAATATATCTAAATTTGTAACAATTATAAATATTATCTAAATATCTAATAAACTTAACATTTAATTGTAAACATAAATTGAAATTCTGTTGACAAATACATTTATAAAATTATTTAAGTAAGAATTGTTCATACTGGAAAGCAATTTGTTAAAAGGTATTGTAAAGCAAATTCTATGAGATGCATACTTAGGGAAGTAGCAAAGATGAATTTAATAATAAATATAATGATGAAATTAAGAATAAAAAAAAAAGCTGATGAGTATTAAAAGAATTATTTCCTTACATTTTATAATAATGCAGTTACATATTTTAAATAATATTAAAAAATAATCCTTTTTTATTACCTTTCAGAAATACTCATAAAAAGTTAAGTACATGGAAATCAGCACCAATATTCAATATTTCACTATTAAAATAAAAAGTGCTCTTATTTGAAATGAACCGAGCAGAGCATTAATTATGAATTGACTCAGATTTTTGATTTAAAAGATGCCTTCAGAAGCTAAAAAATCCTCTCATATTTGAGAAAGTATTTTAGGAAGAAGCTCTGTAAATAGAAAAGCAATAATGCATAATTGAATATTAATAATATAATAAACTTTGAACTTAATTTTTGTAATCAGTTAACCAAATAAAATCGAATCATCTTAACATTTTTTTCTAATGTAATTAATGAAAACTTTTGAAAATATTTCATTCAAGTTAAACTGTTCTGGAGAAAGTACAGCATTTATTGCAGATAAGCTACATCCAGAAGAAATATATAACGCTGATGAAAGTGGTCTTTTTCTGGTAATATGCACAAGGAAGTAAGTACCTTGGCAACCCCTACAGAAAAGGCTCCAACTGGAGTCAAAGATTCCAAAGGAAAACTAACAATTTTAGCATGCACAAATGCTGCAGGAACACGCAAGTGTAAATTTTTCATAATCGCAAAAAATACATGACCCGGAGCATCGTGCAAATGAAACAGCAATGATGACACAAGTGTTAACAAATGATTGGTTTAAAAATAATCTCACACCCAGGGCTCCGTTAACGAATGATTGGTTTAAAAATAATCTCACACCCAGGGCTCGGCAAAATTGAATTCAGTTTGTTTACCTGATGACACAATAATTGTCCTGATTGCAGATAACTGTTCAGCTCATACTTCACTTAACATTTAATTATAAACACATTAGTCAGGTTAAGTTTCAGTGAAAAGAAAAGTATCTGCATTATTCTTTCCCCCCAGTTGTGTCCATCATTCAGCCTATGGATATTGTAATAGTGCACGTGTTGAAATGCAATTAAAATCCCTACTAAATTTCTTGAATAATGGCAAGACTGCTCAAGAATTTTTGAAATATTTCAGTATAAAATCTTCTATGCGAGGCATCGCCAGATCTGGGAGGATGTGTTTCCAGATATTTTAAAAAGTGCTTCACATACTGTATGGCCACTGCCATATTACATGGTGAGGATGATGGAGATGACAGCTGCGAATTTGAAGGTTTTGGGATATCTTAAACCAGAACTGAAATTTTCCAGTTAATGGATTTTGTAAAGAAATGTGGAGAAGTGGTAATAAATGAAGATGATATAACAGAAGTTTTTCACTGTGATGACAATGCCCCAATCATCAATCAATTAATCTATGGCGAAATCTATTTTTAGGTCCAGAAAATACTGCTACCGATAGTGAAGGAAGTGACAGAGAGGTTATAGAAAAAGAAAAAAAATTGATTGCTAAGTTAGTCGAATTCTCAACACAGCAATTACTGGACTTGGAACAAAATGCAACTTTGTAACTGAACAAGAAATCATGCCTGTCTATAATTAAAGAGAAAGTATTAGCAGAAAAAAAAAAAAAAAAAAAAAAAAAAAAAAAAAAACGACGCAACTTAAACAACTTACATTGAAAGAAATGTTTAATAAAGTAAACAAATAAATATTAAGCCCTTTTTGTTTTGTAAGTTTTGACACCTTTTAGATCATAAATGCTTCATTATTTCATATATAACTTTATGGACAAAGCAAGGAGGTTACATTCTTGAATTACAAGTAATGTCCTTCTTCATTTGTAGCCATTTTAAACTGAGAGGTCATTTTGTGTGGCATAAGTCACTGTGTTAAATATAAATCCTTTTATAATTATTTTCATTCTACCCTCATCAAATATTCAAAATATTGTTTCTAACAAAAATCTTTCAATTATGCCTATATTTAAAAATGTCTAATAGCACACTGTCCCTTTGAAGATAATTAAAGAATAGCATTCACTTTATCAAATATACTTTATCATACATCAGCTTAGGTTCTACTACAGGATATAATTCCGTATAAGTATTTTGGTATATCATGTTTTTAATGAGAAATTGCATCAGCCTGGAAAATAAATTTCTGAACTAAAAAAACAGTGTTTCACGTATAATAAGAAATACAATGAAATAAGTATTTATTTTTAATATGATGTATAAAGCAAAATAAAAAAAACTTACACAAGTAATTTGAAAATGAGACTACTCAATACAAATTTCAAGAAGACAATATTGAGGAATGATTAAATAAACACACTGCTCATAACATACATCCATGAATTTCATTCAATAAATAATACAATTTTTTTTAACAATTAATGACTGTGTAAGCATGTTCATTTTCACACACACAAGGAGAAATTTTACAACTAAATGGTAAATCATGATGCCTGATGTTTAGTTTCAGAAATTTTAAGAGTAATCACATTTACCATTCACAATGGAATTTTCAAAAAGTAACGTATTACTCAAAGCACCTGAAGAACTTGGTTTTATTGTGTCAAAATTCATCACTTGTGATGCTGTCTGGCGATTTCATCAGCAGTGAGATTATCATGCTATAAAATGAAAAAAGAAATTTCTGATGAGATTACAAATTTGAATATAAGCAGTTTCATACAACTTAAGTTTTTTAAATAACAACCCAAATATGCGGTTTTTCTGAATATACAAAGTAAACAATGAAATAGAGCTAAAAAATTCAGGAGTAACAATAAATGAGGATTAAAAAAAATTCAGCAATACCATTATATAAGTCTTAAGGGTGTTTTCATTAAAAATGGGAAATATAATAATACAATTGCAAAGAGTATTTTTGGCTTAGTTAACACAGCAGCAAATTTTAAGAAATGCAAGCAAGCAAATTTTTAAAATATAGAAGGATGAACTTACTGATTTTAGAAATTGTAGCAGTTCTGAGCGGGGGGGGGGGGAGAGGCAGTTTCATTATGGACTTTTCTTAATAAAAATCAAAAAGTGATATGCCAAAAATTTAAATTTTGGATGTTTTCCATCACACTACTATGACAACATGTGTCAAACACTTTTATCTAAAAAGATAAATGTGCTAATTTGACACTACGAGAGAGAAAATGAATCTTCATCATCAGCTCATTTCAACTACAGTAAAATATTTCTACACACAATAAGAGAGCTGGCTCATATATCATATTCCCCCTTTTTTACTGATTTTATTTTCAGAAAACTGAAAGGAGAAAATTATGGGAATAGCTTAAATCTGATGGACAGAGTTACAGTAAGAACATAACAAATGAAAAGTAGTCATGGGCAAGCTATAGGTAACTATCACAATATTATTTCTTTAACCCATTCACAACAGGCACCTCTGTTACCAAAGCATTCTCTTGGGACGGCGCGTTAACCAGAAGCGTTGTCCTGTGGGGGCGAACAATTTACGCTGCAAAGCCTACCTTTGGAAAAAATTCGTATAAATGAAATTTGTAATTCGATTTTCCAATTTTGGGTACATAATGAGAACATTCAGATAGCCTGCATGCTGTGTCCTGGATGTTTTCCTTCACGTCTTTCCTCATAATCTAAATTTTTTCTTGTTTCACTAATGTACTAATGCTTTTGTATCCTGGCCTGTCGTTTTGATGAGGGGGGGGAGACGTAAAATATAAAAAATACGATGTCTTTGCTTTGCACAAACAGGCAACTTATAATTAATTGCAATTTCAGGATCTTCCTTTAGACCAGTACTTTTTAGAACATTATGGAATGTTATATAAGGGCTAGTATAAATACAGAGTACACGCCATTTTTCATCAGACTGCTTTTTCTTACTATTGTTACCAGACCTTACTAACATAAAAAAATATGATAGCTTTGCTATGCATGAACAGGCAACCTATAATTAACTTTCCGCCATTTTAGGAGTTTCCTCAAGACCAGTACTTTCAAGAAGATTCTGGCAAGTTATATAACGGCTAGTATAAATACACAGTACATGCCATTTTTGGTCAGACTGCTTTCTATTGTTGCTACCAGACTTTGCTGCTGCTCATCCCATCTGTCTTTCCTTTGTTAGAACAGTTATGATGTAGAAAGTCTAAATTTAACTTAATTTAAATCACGATTTAGTTTATATCACAATCGAATATGCAATTTTGAGAATTCAAATCCAAAGGAAAAATGATCTGCGGTGAGAATTGAATAAAGATGTGTAACCTAAAAAGCTACATTCTTCTTTCCTGTCATTTTGCAGCCTACCACTCAGCCACAACAATATCCGGACACTGTTGTAGTTATATCTTCAAGCTTTGTCATTCCTGTGCCAGCCTGCCAAAATATTACATAAGTGAAATGTATTTTCTCACATTATTTGTGTTGTGTGGTCGGGCCGACAGGAATGAGACAAATTTTGGAATATAAAGTGATACGTTTATTTTTGCATCCATCTCACAAGCGTTCCTCCTGTACCTCGAGGGAGAAGCCCTATTTATAGATATGTGTGCATCATGGTGCTCATCCAATCAGCGACATTAATTTAAATCACGAGGTGACGCTATCTTCTCATCAGGAGTGTTCTTAAGGACTTTATGTAATATGACATATTTATGAGTTTGGCGATTTGCGGGCGCCAACATGTTAATATAATTTATAATAAAGAAAGGATTTCACCAAAATTTAGGAACAGGGTTGCAATTTAGGTAGAGAATCGCCAACACATTATTAAGGAATATAATTAGAATTTAATTTAATCAATTGATTTAAAAATATTACACACACACACACACATATATATATATACACGTACATACATATGAATGTAACACTTATGATTTGCGGAAGGGGAAACCAATTCACTCTTTAGTCACGCTCATGAAAAAAATTACAACTGCTTCGATCATTAAAACATTTCTATTTTGAATAGGGAAAATTCCTGAAAAATACATTTTTGGTTATATTGGTACCACATTAGGGATGCTAAATGCATCCAAAATTTCTATGAAAACAATTTACATTTTAGATAACAGAAAAGGAAGTGTAGCAAAGAGACACAAGTTTCTTATGCACAGCATGCAGGCTAGAAAAGTGATGTGTACTAACTGCAGTCATATTTATAAGCTGGAAAGTGCTTGTTTTAATCCTGAGCAGCAACTGGGCTAAGGATTTTGCAGTGCAAAGAAATTGCAGGGAAGGAGTGATGGAAAATGGCGTAAAGCTTATCTTTTAAGTGGCAATGTATTTAATTAAAATTTATGAATTTAAGGGTCTGTTGTCCAATGGTTCTCATTAAATTTAATAATTTTGTTTTAGATTATATATTTTTTACACATACAGATAATATATTTTTACCTTCTGACTATATAGATATAATCAGAAGATAAAAGAATATAAAACCTAGTAGTGAGAAAAAGATGAAGTGATTCAAAGCACAATGCAAGTTTTATTTATCTTGAAACAGAACTTTCTTTTACCTCTTTCATACTTCAAAGATTATTAGATTAAAATATAATAAATAAATAAATAAATGGAATGAAAATACAACTTATTAAGGAAGGAAAAGGAAAAACAGAATCAATTAAACAATTAGACACACGAATGAAATGAATTTTAAATGTGACATTTTTTTGCTGATTTCTATGTTTAAGAAAGTAGATGGAAATCTGCATTGTTTCATCTGTCAACATGCAATAATGGAAAAACTATACCAGAAAAAAGTACATTTGAAAAATTTATGGAAGTCAGAATAATTTTGAAAGCTGGGCAAACAGGAAGATAACGTGTAGAGACAACATAAATGTTTCTTTTGAAGCAAGAAATGTAAAATTCAGAAAAGACTTGCTCTGAGTCTAACAATGAGGGCTTTCAAATGCTAGCTAGATGGGCATCCATTTGTACTATGAGAGCATACATTCCTCTTAGTTTCCCTCACTTAAAAGGCAAGAGAGAAGTAGTCCAAGACATTGACCTAATTCATATGGTGATGAATTAATGCCTATCATGTTTTAGTTCATGTGCCAATATAGAGATATTAGGTTTTTCAGACAAAAAAAATATGAAAAATTTGCTGAGATCTTGCTGGGATTCGAAACACTGACCTTCCGACTTACACAGCGAGAGCCTAGAAGGAAGAATCCGATAATTCCTTACAATCAAAACAGATATACATTGGATTATTCTAAAATTTTATTAGCATAAGACTGGAAACAATTCCAGATTAAATTAGTTTTTGTATATTTTATGAAAAATAAATTTTTAGTGAGTTATGATAAAATATTTATTAGAATGTCAAATTTAAACATTCCTATTATATATATTAGGTTGTAACAAAAGTTTTCCCCAAAAAACGTTCTCAATAAAGTTAGAAAAAAATAAACATGAAAAGCAGTACATTTACTGCGGGTACTAATCACCACTCAAATCTATGATTTTCTGCCAACATTTTGATAGTTTTTCAAAGCCTTTGGTCCAAAAACTTGGTGGTCGTGAGTTCAAAAACACATCAACTTCATTTCAGACAACCTGTGCATAGTGCAAGATAGCACCAGTGAGATGTAGCTGCAGGTGTGAAAAAGGTCCAGAAGACCAAAGCAGAAATGTCAGAGCTATATGGTGTGTGTGTGTGTGGCAAAAGATCCCATTTGAGTCCATACAGAGTCCAGCCAGTGAATGCAGACACGTGATCTTGCATGCTCTTGATGGAACATTTATCTTTTTGTGCTGAAACCCAGTTTGACATTTTTCCTTGATAGCAGAGTCAACACAGATTAGTATCTCACTGTAGACCTTACCTTTATGTTTTTCCAGATACTGTTTGTGGATAATACCACAGCAATCCCATCAGATAAAAAGCATGAACTTTTTGTTAGTCAAATTGCACTTTGTGACACTGCTGATGGGCTCACTGAGCACAGACCACCACCTTTCAACTTTTGTTGTTGAAATAAATCCATTTTTCATCACAAGTGATGAATTACAGAATTTTGTCCTTGTGTTGATATTCGAGCAGATTAGTGCAGGCCCGAACATGTCTGTCCTTATTTGAGTCAGTTATGTGACACCCAGCAATTGAACTTGTACGTGAAGTTTATGCGACGCATAGCACGATGAATGTTTCATGGCACTGTCTAACTCCTTAGCAAGCTCTTGAGTGGTTGCAAACAGATCTTTTTCCACAAGTTTTAGCAGGCTAGCCTCATTAACATCAGTATGCCGGCCAGAGCACTCTGCTTCTTGAATGCCATACTTCTTGTTTTTGAATTTCTGGTACCATACCCGTCACAGAGTCATATAAAACAACATTAGTACCTAAAGCTACGTACATGATTTGGTGACATTATGTAGCTGAATTTTTGCAATAGAACTGGAAGAAAATGATGGTTTGAATTTTGTAGCGTGATAGTTCCATTGAGACACCTTGTATGTTATTTTTTTTTACAAATTTCACAACACAGCGTTCTAAAGTAAGTCTCTTTCTTTTAAATGCCAAAAATTGTTTGACAAAGTAAGACAACATGCTAATGCAAACTGTTTGCACAAACAATATTTAAAGTGACGGGAAACTTTAGTTAAAAGCCAATATTTACAC